AACAGGTACTTATAATAAGTTATTAATAATAGTTACTCTTTATAATAATAACAGGTACTTATAATAAGTTATTAATAATAGTTACTCTTTATAATAATGACGAGATTATGTTGTTTGAAATAACATCATGGAAGATATATTGGAATAAAAGTTTGAAGAAGATAAATTTAAGAAAGCTTAGTTAAGATTAGAGAAACTTAAAGAATTGATTACAGATAGTTATTATAAACCTACAATTTTTAACCATTACCCTAAACATAAAAAATGGAACATTCATTACATTTATTCATTAAAAAACTACCAAATCATATAGATATTTAGCTTCTTTAGTCATCACCCCAAAACACTGTAAACCAAATATACCAGAATGGTTAACCCCAAAACACTGTAAACCAAATATACCAGCATGTTTAACCTAAACAATTTCTACTTTAGTTTCAGGAAAAAGGTTATAGAAGAAAGGCTTAAAAAATTAAAATTTGTGTTTGAAGTTAAGTACAAAGCAATACAATGGGCTAATTGTGCTCTGCCCACCACGGGTATCGAAATCCGGTTTCTAGCGTTGTAATTCCGAAGACATACTGCTGTGCCACTAGGGAGGGGGACAATTTTTAAAAGAGTGCAGTTATCCAGGTAGATTAATTGAAAGGGGATTCAAAACAAAACTTGATGTTAAACATTCAGTGACGCCCTGGGTAATTGTATCAGTCTTTTCACTCAGTGTGTTGTAAAAACAGTTTCAGTATTAACATTTCCATGACGCCCTGGGTAATTGTTTCAGTCTTTTCACTCAGTGTGTTGTAAAAACAGTTTCAGTATTAACATTTCCGTGACGCCCTGGGTAACTGTTTCAGTCTTTTCACTCAGTGTGTTGTAAAAACAGTTTCAGTATTAACATTTCCGTGACGCCCTGGGTAATTGTTTCAGTCTTTTCACTCAGTGTGTTGTAAAAACAGTTTCAGTATTAACATTTCCATGACGCCCTGGGTAATTGTTTCAGTCTTTGCCCACTGTATGTCGTAAAAACGGTTTCAATACTAAACTTTCCGTGACGCCCTGGGCAATTGTGTTAGCTTTTTCACATTGTGTGTCGTAAAAACAGTTCCAGTATTAAACTTTCCGTGACGCCCTGGGTAATTGTATCAGTCTTTTCAAAATGTGCGTTGTAAAAACAGTTTCAGTATTAAACTTTCAGTGACACCCAAGTATTTTCTATAGTCTTTTTACACAATGTGTGTTGTAAAATTTTTCAGTATTATTCTTTCAGTGATGCTCTGGGAAATTTCAAACTTTTAAAATCTGTAATATCGCTTTAAAACTCTCTGTATTATATTTTATTTCATTATACAAGCTTCAAAATCTGCATTTGAATTTGAAATAAGCATTTTTAGAATTTTCGTGAACTCCTAGTTGCTTAAATTACGTGCAAATCTACAAAACACAAACAAATATGATATTTTCTTTAAATAATGCAGATAAATGTATATGCAGATAAATACGTCAACATTTAAAAAAAAGATATACGGTCAACATTATTCTTGTGTATAATAAAAATATTGCCTGGCCATGTTTTTAGGTTAAAATGTAACATCAGATTTCCATATTTATATTTTTCTTAAAGAGATTCTCGTAGTTAATGTCGTACTTTCAGGAGATTTAATAGTCTCTTCTTTCTTTATTAAGTTAGTGTTATGTCAAAGATAAGAAGACAAGTAGTTCAAGTCAAGAAAATGAGATTATAAGTTTTACTGAAATCTCCAGAAAGTATCGATATAAATTTAGTTGTACTGTCTGTGGTCTGTTGTATGTCCATGTACCTACTTCGCAGGGTGTAAATGAAACATACTAATTTTCAGTTTTTCGTTTTGCGGTTTTTATGGGCGTTTTTGCCCTTTTTACCACTACCTAACCTTCCCTGGATGGATCTTCACCAAGTCTGGTATGGAGGTTTATTGGGTCCATAGGGAAACAAATATTTTCACTTTTGCATTTTGCTTTTGGTGTTTTTTATTACTAGTTCGCCCCTATTGACGGAGCTTCACCAAATTTGGCATGAAGGTTTTTTGGGCCAATGGGGAGAAACATCCACATTTTCAGTTTCGCTTTTTGCAGATTTTTATATGCGTTTTTTTATAATTCCATATAAGGGAAACAACTTTTATTAATCATTAATTTATATAACTTCCTTCCAGACGACGGGTAATCCAGCTAGTATTATAATGTGTTGTTTACCATCATTTAACTTAAATGTCTATCATTCTGATCAAGCTTTTGTGGTTCTAAGCTGTATTATTTTAACAAATGCTTGATTATCGTTTTACTACTGATGTTACCCCTCTGTGGCATAACGGCAAATTTGTGGGTTTATAAAACTAAAAATCGGGTTTTGATACCCGTGGTGGGCAGAGCACAGAAAGTCCATTTTATGCTTACCACGCATCGTGTTATTTTTTTCTTTTTAAATAAATTTTTATTTGTGTAAATGCTTTCTCACCATTGTCATAATAATTCTTATTTTTCTAAATGAAATTATTGGTTTGTAAATAATCAAATATATTTCTGGTTTATTGCTATTGTTATTAGTAATGTATGTTTTTATTTGTTAGGTAATATCTATTTGTGTTTTTCTATATTTGTGTAGGTTTCTTTATTCTGTTAACAGTAAACTGTTCTCTTGGCGCAAAGTTTCCCAGTGGATTAGTTACAGCGGGAATCGAACTCAAGATTTTAGCATTGTAAGCCCATAAAAATAATTCTGACCCATCGGAGGTCTGCACAATTGGATATCTTTTTATGGTTACAGCAGTGATAGAGCCCCAAGTTACAGTCCCATAAATCCACAATATTACCACTGATACACGGAATAAACTTATTTGTAATAAAAACAATTAATGAAATACATAAAAAAATTTTTTTTTTCATATTCAATCAAACATTAATTACAACAATACATGTTCCGATAAAATCACGCCTTTGTTTGTTCATATGATATACTGTTTTGGCTCTAAAGGTTTGTATCATTCTTTTATAATTTCAGTAGAAGAATGAAGTATTCATATGAACGTATCAAACAGATCCATACTAAATAAAGAATCAAAGCCAACATTATTAATATGCAGAATTTTAATAAGCAAGCTACAATAAGACAATAATGACAGGAAAGGTGTTTCTATTAAGATTCAGAAGAGAAATAGCAGGAGGAATGAACACGTCTTCGGATGTCCATTTCAACAGAGCAGAGTTACTAAAGTCCATTGGAAGTTCTGGAATTAAGTTTCAGCCTTTTAGATTGATAAAACTGATTTTTGTTTTAAAAATATCACTTCAGAATGTTTTACACAGAAATTGTTCACGTTACATATTTCCAACTAACAAAAGGCTTAGCTTAAAATTCTATTTTTCACATCGAGTTTTGCTATAAACCTCAATTATTGTTATTTTATCCCATTCATATATAAAAAATTAAAATCTAAGAAAAATAACATAGAAAAAATTACTTTGAAAGTTGTCTGCATGTCTAATCTAAAAGCCAATGTGTGTCACGTCACTCTTGATTTCTCGGAATAGAAAAAGTTATAAAAGCCAAAATACATTTATCCAGATAGAATAGTTCTATTATTGTCTGCCCATTACCATTTCAGCGACGGGGTTGCAAGTGGACCGTGAGAGAGGGGTGTCATGAAACCTTATAATTGTAGTGAGTGTTAGTATAATAAGCCTAAATTAACCACCTGGCCTAGAGCCAAGTGGATAAAATCTATCATGAAAGTAAAAATATCGATTAACTTTTAAACTGAAATCGTTTCAGAATTAAGCTATTTTCTGTAATATTACCAACGTTTTAAATAAAAAACAAACCTCTTTAATCAACGGATACCCTAAATTTAGAAATCAAGAAATATTTTTCCAGTTTTGTTGTCTTTTGATTTTCTTTTATACTTTCAGTACATAGACTAAGAACAATATTAGGTTATACTTTTTTAGCTAAGCAACGTGACATACAAGCCATTGTTGGAACGTACTGTTACCAAAACGCTTTTCTATATATTAGAAGTTGTTAATCTAACTGATTTTTACCAATAATTATTCTAATTGGCTCACAAAGGAATTCACCAACGTTTGACTGCATCGATTGCACTTTTCTGCCTATTTGTTGTTCAAGCTAAATTTCGCAGTTAGCTATAAAATGTGAGGTTAGGGTATACTATGAAATGGGGGTGGTAGTACTTGCCCCGTCATTTTTGACGGGCTATACGCTAGTAATATATAGTTTTGGTTAATAGTAGTAATGACCTTGAATGTTAAACTACATAAGTAAAACTGACAGAGTAGAAAAATGGCACATGCAATAAGAAACAATTATGAATATGAACATCTAAAATAATTTGTTCTAGACTTGGAGAAGGAGATGAAGTACGTACAGTTATTAAAAAAACATTTAGTTTTAGAGTTCTCATATCATTAATATCACATTAAAAAACGTAGTTAGTTCTTTAAATTCGTAGCTACAGAATAAATATAATAACGGAAGTAATAAAGACACATTTTCTGGCCCAACGACCATAATATATTGTTCAGTATAGGATAGATAATGAATATTAATAAATCACTTTGTTAATGTTTGAGTTGCCTAACTTATTATCTAAATTCAAAACACTTACCAACGGTTTCCTCTTTACTTGTATATTAATGTTTTGGTTTTTTCATTTCCATGCATGCTTTCATCTAGAAGATTAGTGTTGTTTGATATTAAATATTAATTATTGAATACATCATTCATTTTAATATAAAACTAAACACATGCTTATACCAGGCGTACGGGGGTACTACAGAACCATACAGAACTAAACACAATCTTATACTAGACGTACGGGGTTACTATAGGATCTCACATGAAATATATGAACTT